GAGCCCACCTTGGCTGAGAATAAAGCAGTAATAGAAAAATAGTGTGGAAATTGTGTCGGGGGAAGTTTGGAAATAGGTAAAGGATAAGATCGAGGAGGAGAAGGAAGAGGCGAAGATACGAAGGAAACTAGCATCGGTACTATTGGTGTACTAAGTGGCTGCAGTGTTGGAGTATGAATATATGTTCGCTTTCCTCAGCTGAGTCTGGGAGTTTCCTCACTAGTTGTACAAGTGGGTAGTAAAGAACAGAAACCAATGAGGATTTCCTGAGATTTCCTCAAAATTTCCATGTTGTGGAGGATGTGCATATTTTTCCACACTGGTACATGTGAGTATGGTCAGCATCGGAAGTCTATTCGAACGGCATTTCACGTGACTGAGCCGCCGGTGTTGGAGATTCCTTTGGAACGAGAGTATCGTCGAATCGCCACTAAGGGTGTTGTTGCTGTCTTTAACGCGGTAAGGGAGGGGGTGGTGGTGGTAGGGGAAGGTATTGGGGATTATTATTAGGTCAAGGCTTTCCGAGCACCTGAGGAGCAGGAGGAGGAGGAAGAGGGAGAGGGAGAGGAGGAGGAGGAGGTTGTAGAGAAAGAGGCCATCCGTAATTTAGTGTGGGAAGAAGGAGTATAGTTTCCTGTGATGCGTTTAAGAGCCTCTACTGTTGGGACTACACTGTAGGGTTGATCGGTTCACAACTATTAAAATGAATTTTCACCTGGAACTTCTGGCGTGCAATCGAGGCTCGATCGCCCACTAGAAGTTTTAGAGAAAAATCGTAGAAGTTAATACCCTTAATTACCCCAATCATTGAGGGGAGATGTTCGGATAATTGAAAATTATTCTCGGCATGCTCTTGCTATACCACGCCTTATACACATTCAACTTGGACGTCGGCGATTCAGCTCTCCAGATGTGTCATCAACTGAGTAGATTTATCCGTGGAATTGTAGTTCGTCCTTGAGAGTGATGATTGAATTTCTTTCCATCGGCATCTGTGTGTTGTCCACAGGGATGGATACAACATCCAAAAGTAAATTCCTCAAGCTTTTGAAGAAGGGCACTCAAGAAGAAGGTGTGGAGGAGAAGGCGGAGGAGGAGGGGGAGGAGGAGATTCCACAGAGGAAGAAAAAATACAGGAAAACCAGAGCCGATATGGCGGTGACAGACGAAAACTAGTGTCACTTCGGAGAGCCAAACGTAGATATTTCCTATTTACCATCGCTGTTAACAGGGTGTTTAGTTGGAAAATAACAAACCCACTGAAGTGGGCAGTATTATCACTCACTCTCCATCTCGTGATGTGGAAGGCGTCGCTATCCCCTGTCACACGTTATTAAAGCATTCAACCGTCCTCGCAATATTCATAATATCACAACAGTCGAGATCGTGACTTTAACTACAGTATCTTATACTGAGTATTACACAACACTCACTCAAACAATACATTGATACAATGTATCAACTAACTTCACGACTCTCACGTACTACCACTAACCGAGACTATCAAGTTTGCCTGGGGCGAGCTCGCAACTCTCTTCAAATCCCACCTGACCTTAGCTCCCAACGATTTAGCCGATCATGAGCCGCAACATTCCTCTCAGGAATAACAGTATTTTCATCATTGTACGTTCATCATCGCATCGTACGCAACATCCCATATTCTCATTTACGCATGTTCATCTCAAAATCAAGCGCTTACACACTGCGAACAGTCGTAGAGCTGTCTACTACCCAGGGACCGTTAGTGGGTTCACTGTAGGGAACCAACAATGACAATTTGTCTTAACGAATCCCACCAGTTTACGTGATCTTGTGTTGTTGAGTAGCGATGCCACTATAAACTCAAGTCTCTTATTAAGAGCGGCATATGCTCATTCTTGCTACATTATCAGGCAATGATAACGATATCGATTATTCTTTCCGTCGACGTTTGACCTTAGTAATAGCCTCCTCCTCCTGAGCCAGCCTGTCCAGCACGACTGCAACTGTTGTGTTCATTTGCTCGTTGAAGAGATCGTGGAACTCCAACGCCTTCTCAAAGACGTATTCACCCGGGTTATTATACAAATATGCATTACTGAGCATTTGTCTGATATCACCTTCGAACTCAGCTCGGCTGTTATATGCCAGGGTATCGAGTTTCTCCCGAATGACCCCGATGTCAACAGGTGTCGATATGATGTCATAGTAGCGTGGTACCGTCTTGGGCACAGGATTGATGAACGGCTCTACTATATCCCTATGGTGTCTGCATATCCTCTGAATCAGCCTTCGGTATTCATTTCTCTCCCATTCGGGCATACCTTGTTGCTTGAATGTCAGCGGATGGTGATGCCCCTAAGAGTTAAGGAAGATTCATAACTCATTCGTAGAGGTATGATACTACATGTGTCGAGTCACGACCGTGAGGCTTCGATGATCGCGCTGAAGCGCTCATCGTCGTTCAAAAAGGATTATAATGTACTACAACAGAGTGGAGACCTAATCCGCCAACCCAACCCAACGCGGAGAACGAGAAGGAGACTGCTCAACAAACCCCATTATCTCCGTCGAGTATGCCTAGCTGACCTTCTGACATCAGTACTCTGCAACTGGACACTCCCACGAATACCATCTACGGTGGCACTTCCAATATCTCACTCGTCAAGGTCATCATAGACCTCCTGGAGATGTACCAACTCCTCAATGAACGATACCTAGATGGTAGTAGTACCTCAGTAGAAGCAGCACTAGACAAACTACTACGCCTCGATACGAGACTGCTGGATCGACGACGAGAACAACCGTCACCAGCATCGCAGGCATGTAACGACCAGCTTGAGAGGCGACTGATACATCATCGATGTACTTCGGGGACAATCTGGTGATTCTCCGCCGATGATGATCCTCTTGGCTCACAAGGGAATACCGCAGATCATACAACGGAGGGTCTTCATGTGCGAAATGAGGTGGACAAGTATCGTAGTCGCTGGTCCACCACTCGGACAACTAAGAGGTATTATACAAGGAGATTCATACCACACCAAGCACACTTCTCGGGGAGACTCCATCTGGCCAATCACCCTTGACGGTGTTCTCTATTCTACCGATTCAACAATGCTAATCCTTCTCCTGCTCAACCGACAGCTTTTACTACACCCTCGCTGTACTGCAGGAATACTCTCCTTACCTATCGAGACGATCACCAACATGATGATGATGATACTTTCCACATAATCAACTACTCGCAACCTCAGCAGCATCCCTGGAAGATAGTCCCTCACGGTAGCACATGAATGAACCCACTCGGCCGTGATAGCATGCAGCCTCGAAGATCGTCGAAGTGCCAATAACAACTAACAACTTGTCTAGCTTAGTTGGGCTGACTATCACCCTATGAAGCACATGGTCTCGGGCTCGAATCCCTGTGAAGCTGTAACAAACAGACACCAACTCGCCCATACTATAACTTTTGATTTAACTCGATACATCAGCATGTAGGATGCGAAACCAGTAAGACACTACTCGAGCACCAACATCACAATCATCATCATCACCAGCAGTAGTATTAGTAGTAGAACCCATATACTGCAGTAGCTTCAAGGAATTATATTATTAACAATAGCAGCATTACCACACCAAGCTCAACCACCTCAACTGTGATTGTTATTATTACCGCTGTTGTTGCTGTTGTCGTTGTTATTGTCTTCCGGCAAGGTCCATACCGTAAACCAATCAACATCGGGATGAGGGGGACAAGGGGGGATATCTCGAATCTCGTCCTCTCGCACTCCTATCTTGATGCCCTTCCTCTCGTGTGAATAAATTAGAAGATTCTGGCACAGAGCACCCAATCGGAACAGCAAACTGGACAAACGATACCTATCAACAACGACCAAACACATAGCGCTCGCCCTGATGATCGATTTGGGGGGAATATTATTACCATGGGAAGAGTATGACGGTCGTGACCTTTGGCCGAATATCCTTCCTGTCTCGTAGTACTATAAAGTAGAATACGAGTACCATAATGTAGAGTAATGCAGTGAAGACCAACAGCATAATAACAAAGGTTATCCAATCACGTATGATCAAACCCCATAGTAGGAAGGCTCTCAGCCAATCCAGGACAATCGTGAGGAACTAACAATAATAATGAACATGTGAGCCCACACGGTTTAGTATTATTATTATCATTACCTCCTGTATGAAGTATGGCTTCAGTACCCAACTGGCCAGATGAAACCAACCCGTGGGCGTTAATATTTCATACAAATACGTGAACGTCTTCTTATGCGAAGTCACATCCCATGACTTCACACGTTGACGGTATAGCATTGACCTGAGCGGAGTAATAATAATCGTCGGCACCATGCAGTAGTCGACACTCACCAAGTGTCTGGCGCATAAGTGGGCACAATCGTCTGAGGAGCTGATATAATCCTGGAATCATCTCGGCGCCTCAGCAGAGCCAATCCCATATAAAGGTCCTCGCCATTGAAAACTGTATCATGTTCATACAACACCTTTTAGTAACGCATACTACAACCTCTACTAAGCTGATAAGAAGACACATACCTCATCCATCGTTTGCCGATCCCACAGAGCGATAGCACCATGGCAACTCAAACTCCTTGCCAGAGTTGCCTGGAATAGCTTATGGACTGCTGCCAACTTGTATTCAACATCCTGGCACCGCACCAGCTGGTTCGGTTTACCATCGGGTGTTGTGGCAGTAATAGGGAAGTGGACAGCCTACGAGGACATTGACCATATCGCCCAGGAATACAGTCTCGGCGGAGCTACCTTAATGTTAGGATTCTGGTCGAGCATCTGATGTGGTATATGTAGATCAGCAGGTAATGGTACATCATCATCGATGATAACTGCATACCTATAAACGTCGGCAACTATGTGGGTGAAAAATTCCGTCCCAAGCCACTACTACTTGAATGCTTGTACTCTTCCACAACGGTGAAGGAAGGGTATCCAATACTTATTACACCAATAGAATGCAAAAGTCTTGTTACCCTCTGGCACGAATAGATAGTTGATATCAGGATGCACCTACGACCCCCATAAACCACAACCATTACTACCAACATCACTACCTGCTGAGTAGCCCATTGGGTTTCATCGAAAGGCTTCGAGTCGCGACCATTATCACACACGAAGATGTGCGTTGGTGGGAACACCATCAAAGCGGCTCGGAGTGTGCCGGTAAACACATCATACCTGACCAGTTGAGACAATCTTCACCACCCCCCCCCCCCCACCCCCCAGGATGATAATATAAATTTCTCACCTTTCCTCCGTCATAGCAGAGTTATGGCATGCAATGAGTAAGCACACATCGGTAGTCATAGCTTGACTCAGTATCTACCAGATCAACAATTACCATCATCATCACTATAAAACCGGATATTACAAAATCGACTGTTGCAGAATCTTCACTTTCAATGTCACTGCTACGGTCAATATCACTCATATCATCACCACCATCGAGCGGTAGAAGAGTCTTCCGCTGAGCTTCTGGTTGCTCTGACTTAACCGTCTCAGCTGGGATAGCTGCTCCCATGATGGGCTCCTTGCCCTCCGAATGAGACTCCTTCAGAGGAACATCCTCACCATATTCTTCACCTGCAGTCTCCTTCAGTTCTTCTTGCATGTGGCGAGAGAACACCTAATAAGCTCTCCATAAGATTAGAACCCACGACCTCCGCCATGACAGCCCACAAGACTAACCACTCGACCAACTTACCGGAGGCTTAGGCCACTTCACAACGCATGCTGCCGCGAAGAAGAGTACCACATCCAATAACACATCCAAGAATATAATCCAATCCAAAGCGGACACAGCATTCCAAATTGAGACCACACCCACAAAGGCCTCATACAGTGTCTCCTGGCTGTGCATATTTTGAGGGGAGAAGTATAGAATACAGTATTGAGAAACGATAATGAGAATAATGAAGAAACCGTTGAGTAATAGTGTACCTGAAAATGATAAAAAATCAATAACATCCTTTCGGACGAATCACTTACGGAAGTTTTCTTTTGCAACAAACCTTGCTTTCTTGTCCTTTCCTAGCATCCTATACTGCTCAATTCGTCGCTCCCAAGCTGATGATTCAAAACGTTTACGAGGATCCCGAGACTCCCTAAAATAAATTCGCCATACCAAATTTCCCACACATCATCCCAAGTACTCCGCCACTTACAGTCTGCTCTTGAACCCTCCCTTAGTTATCTGCTCACTATACTCACTAGCAGTCATACCAGGATAACCGCCAACCCTGAAGACAAATCCTTATACCACACCTCTCCCAAGTCTACTCAATCATTACATTGATGCCATCGAGCTGTTCACAGTCGGTGCAATCACCGAGGGTGCCGCCCTGGCACTCTGTCCAGCTGGCGCCGTCAAGTCCCCACTCCAAAGAGGAGCATTCGGATCGAGCGAATACATATAGCGAGCCTCATCTGCCCATCTCTGTTCAACTTGGTCACGTAGGAACCTATAATGCATATAATAACACGCTATACACCATACCACAACAGGAGCTCACTTCCGCTTGGCAGGTAGTTCTACATCCATCCTTGCCTTACCCTCGGCTTGCTCCTGCTTCAGGCCTTTCTCAGTTGCTCTTAGACCAAATTCAGAGATGAACCAAAACACTATCATGAACACTGTAGCAACGATAATGCCCCTCATAACCAGAATATTAGAGGGGGTAACCTTAAACTGTCGACCACAGAAAGGACCAACTTCAACCTAAACATACACGGTACTACTAAAACAAGCTATGGTAACACTACTACCTTGTAGCAGTCCAGTGACTGAGCAAAGGTCTGGCTAGCAACATATATAGTACACTGCTCATTATCAGCGATCTCGGTCTCATCCTTATTAATCGTACCAGGATAAGGACAGTCCTGGTTGGTATCAGTGGTTCGGCACATGTAGGTACACTGGTTAACGGAGTAGCACATAATATCATCTTGGCTCTCATGCGGGAGTATACACCTCTCGAGAGCATCCTCAGGCTTAGTCCCATATGGTACAGTAACACCAGCCTTTTGCATGTTATAGGCGGTTTCATAGTTATAAGCAATAGCCATTCGACACGTTCTACCAGAGAAATCCCTATTCTGGATTTTGAACGATTCCGCCAGAGAGGGACAATCGTATATAGGCCAAGACCTAGTGGTTCGATCATAGATCCACTCGATACCCTCGCAATACCTAAAACGATGGTCAATGCCAGTAGTAGTAGGAGGAGGAAGGTACTCAAACTACTACCATGTCATAGCCACAAATGCACACACGGCAAGCGTAACTGTTAAGACCAGAATCCGACCGAAGATCGGACATATAGGAGCCCCATGAACCTGCTAGGGTCTGTAATCGAAGACGGGTGAAGAAGTGACCTTACCTTGGGTACTACATATCGTTGCTGAGGTGACTCGACGTTCTCGGATGATGCCATGATGATGTTGTTATTGTAGAGGAAATAGCGGTAGAGTGGTTAGAGATAATACAAAGGCACAAAAGGAACTGAATATTGAATAGAATCAGACGACACAATCAACACGTAGTAGCCTCTTCAACAAGACGACCAACTCGACACAACTAGGCTAGAGAGCGACTACCCAGAAAGTCCATCCTGGCATCACTAGCCTAGGAGCAAAAGTCTTCTACTTACATCACGCCGTTGAGGACTTGCAAAAGCTGCTAGCTTCAGCAGATTTCGATGTGGTTAAAACAAAGACTCATTTTTGAATAACAGAGTGCTTATAGAGGGAACACGGTCGTCTAATGTCGAGCGACAAATTAGAATGAATAAACAAGGACCAGTTTACATTGTGAATAGTAACAAGGGCACTCATAGGACCTCCCGACTGCTGTGGTGGTAGACCTACATTGACTTGGACTCTCTTGGTCCACTTGCATTTCCTCAACGCGGGGATTGTCTTCCCGAAACACAAATTCATTTCTTTGAATATCAAACCTCAGAGCCAGTCCTTTTCCCGAAGGTACGGACCTATTTTGCCGACTTCCCCTGTCCTGCGGACCAGAGTCTTCTAACGTTTGAGACCTGATGCGGTTACGGGTACGATCGAGAGTGCGAATAAATCAACCCCTCGGATCTTCAAGGGCCAGCGAGAACACGATACAACCGAATCATGCCAAACAACTAATTGTCACAATCTCTCCTATTCAACGAAAACACAAAATTTCACAACAACTCGGATAAGTTCTTCTACGAAGAATAGCTGTGGTGTAAGCATGAAATGATGGTTACGAATTCTGATGCTGATACGGTATGAACTCGACGGAGATAAAATGTCCATGACCGAATCGATGCTTGGAAACTCGAAATTACGAGCCCTATTTCTCCTCCTATACAAGTGAGATCGAAAGTTCTATAACGAAGATAAGAATCGGATACGCGAATTAGGTCACTCTGTTTTCGAATTCGTACGTCCACTTTCGGCTATCCCAACAAAATCGAAATCTCCCAAGGGCAAGTAGATATTTGCGAAGTAAAGGAAATATCGGATATCAACCAACATGACGAAAATCAGTAGTGTGGGTTCATTAAACACAACCGATATATTCCTCCTTCAACAAGAAGAAGGTACCAAACACATTACTCATACTACAGGCAACTATTTGGATTCACGTGATGAGTTCTTGAGACACAGAGAGCCTCCTAAGCAACCCACTCCGACTAGGCAACCCACTGCAGATGCAAATCACCGATCTGAGATCACCTGCACCTATAATGAGTTGCGTAATAGCCCGCAGCGAATCGTTTTTTGCCGTGTTTTAGTATTTTTCTGTATTTTTCCGAGTTTTTCAGGATTTCCGTGTTTTATAGCCACATCTGTTGCGGGTGTGGTCACGGAAGCCGGAAATCACAGTTCTATTGATCATGATATTCCCGTGGACTGAAGTTATAACAAATCCAGTTCGATTTAAGTACACAGACGACCTAATTAATAAATGACTAAACTCAACAGCTCCAAAAGTGTACATCAGACAACAAAGTTGCACACATCGTTACATGAACACTCCTCAACACAGTACACCAAACAAACTACAATACAAGACGATCTAGATCATCACCACGCCTTCCTCCACGAACCACCTCTTGTCGAATTAGTCTTACGAGGCCATTCGGAAGTACCCGAATGACTCCGATCTATCAACACCAATGTCTACCGACCAGGCCCGAACTAATGCTTACCTCCGCTACCAGAACATTTGCGAGATCGGGTAACTCTCCAACCATGGTCTCGACCAGAGTCGTTCTGCTGAGTTACCACTACTCCTTGGTACACTGTAGTGCTAGCTGAGTACCGTGCCGGCTCCGAAGCTGTGATCAGATACATAGGACAACACAGGACGACACTTACCATAAACATCAACTATCCGCTTCATTTCTTCCACATAAGCCTCGCCGTGCTTCTTTTTATACAGCATGCCTTCAAGCTTCACCATGAGAGCATCCATATTAGCATCGGAGACATCTATCACCTGCGATGACGATAATTATAAGATAATGATACTAGGCAAACTTACATACCCGAAACTTGATGAAAAGCTCCAAAAGTTGAAGTGTCGTCTCTAACAGATTCGCCGTCGTCGCACTGGCCAATAGAGTCTCAACAGTCTGTCTGTTGATGACATCCACTCTGTTTTTAGGAGCTAGGTTTCCTACCACACCATGATGAACTCAGTAAACCGAGCTCGCCGTACGTGTGTTTGCAGTCCCCTTGGGCACGATCGGCTGACGTTGATGAGGCTCTCGGTTCCTCATATGACGACCAATCATGCTACTGCAAACTCTCAAAGTAAACTCTCCATTGCGCTCACGTATCTGTTGATTCAAATCAGTCCCGAAGCGAACAATCGATGCACTATTCTACTCCAACTACTCAAGTAGAACAGAATAGGCAAGAAAAGGAAGCTATATACAAATGAGTTGGTAACAATATATCAACGAAATGGGTACATAACATCTACATCATCGGGCGCGCGCTTTTTGCAAATTCCGCATCTTTTCTGGGACAGCCGATAAAAACATATATAGCATCTATATAACATATATATCGGCATTTTCTGATACAGTGATGTCCACAGGCTCGAATGACACAAGTCTGGGAGCATCAAAAATTTGGACACCTTATCTTTCCCAGATGCTACACGTGAATACATTAGCCATGGGAAAATGCTGAGTAGCAGCTATTACTAACGATGATTGGGACAGTGCACCTCCGGCTTACCGTTCGTTGCGCAAGTTGTGTATATAGTCTCAATTCCGGTATCACACCATAGTCCCTTTCCATGCCAACCTGAAATCCAATAACAGCGGCAATGCAAATCCGTGATAGAAATACGTCAAGAAGGTCGAGGCACTCCTCGAAGACGCTATCATATCTTTGTGATTCATCGTCAGCAACTGTTGCCAATATCACTTTCATATATATACTAAATGTGGCACTCGATCCACTAACCTGACATAGACAATGAGTATTGAGCCCCAAGGAAAGGAGGAGGAGGACTTCATATTGAATGCGAGTGCGCAGATGGACACTTTACTCTAATCACTATTCACAAAGAGGAACCCTATCACCGCAGAACATGTCATCTTCCAAATGCAAGAAGGCGTTCCAGTAACAATCCTCACGATTAATTACTTGAATTTTGTGCAATTTTCCCAGGAAAATATGTAGGCTGCTATAGGGCCCACGAGGCCGAGCCGCTTCCAAATATCAAGAGAAGAAGGAGAAGTGCAATTTCCGCATACCACAACATGCGCACATTTCCGACAATGAATCTCACTAAAGATCAGCGACCAGACTAGCCGATTCACACACTTGTGAAACTCACCCGGCTTCTCCGCATTTCCTCCAATATCGCAGCCGCGAGCTTCCTTCTATTATCAAACGGTGGAGCTAGTTTAACATCATGCACGCAACAGCAACCCAGTAAGAGGTTATTATACACGATTTCATCTGGCCTGTGATGAGCATCCTGAACAGTAAACTCCCATAAGATGGCCAGTTCGATAAACTCACCAACATTTCTTTGAGTAAGCCAAGACCTCGGCTTATCCGACCTGCGCTGCAGTTGGATTTGATGAGTATAGAAAACGTTATCAGATCCGCCGCGACTCCGCAACTCTTCATTTCTTCGTAACTAAGGGACGATGTGGGAATATATGCACATGGTCAACTACATGAAAGTTCTGAGAAAATTCCGGGAAATTAATCGGTTTTTTCCTATTTTTCTACCCAAAATCGAGAGTGAATTCCCATAATGTAGTGAGAAATCTTACGAGCTAAGTCGAGGAAACCAAACAATATTCCCACACTGCTAACAGACACCAAAGAGCCGACATCCAGATTTCGACTCACACGCTCATCGCAGCATCAACATTGCCCTGTTTCGCATGCCCTTTAATAAGAGTAGTATACATAACCTGAATCACATGAGCATTCAAATAAAACATTTTAATTGAATAAACTATATTATGACGATTTTCTAGTGGAAAATCGCTATAATGGTGATTGTTACAATTCAATTCAACTTCATTTTATGGGACTATATGATGTTGAACATATTATTAAGCTCTCACTGTATTAACACTGAAACTTTTCCGATTTCCTTCATCATTCCCGGCGAAAGACTGCTGTTGTCGTATCTCCTCGAAGACCCTCTGAGCTCTAGCCATGTCATCAGCGTTTATACAGCAATCTAATAGAATGCCATAGGTAACTGGTGTCGGTTTGATCTGAGCAAACATCTCCTTAACGAACGCTATACTAGCGGCTACATCTTCGTTTTGCATTAAGGTCATTAGATAGTCGCATTTACTCAAATTCCCGAGCCGGGCATACCTAGCAGGCACCAGCAATACGACATTGAATCACACAGAATGGCACTTATAAGGAGTCTCTCACATGAGTGGTAGCCACTATCTAAGATACTACTACTCGAACATGTAGCGGTCGATCAGTCGAAGCTATTCGTGAACAATCACATTTAGGAATCACTTTCCACTTCATGGATGAATCTATCGCGCTCTTAGGTTCTGGTCATATATGTTTCTTTCTTACCAACTGAGTGTAAGTTCTATAATCATATACGTTATTATAAGCTCAAGCAAATACCCCTTACCCCTTCATAACGGTGTTGTGAGTAACAACATCGGCCACGACCTTGCCCTCCTCACCAATAGGCTTCCGCAGTTCATGGAGTATTCTCTCAGCTACTTCCAATTCACCATTCTTCACCAACACACTCAACACAGTATTGCACCTGTAATACCACACTTCTCTCTCATCCCGCTAACTATACTACTTACGTGACAAGATCAGGCACGACCGACTCAGTGGCTTCCCGTAGCGTCTTCAGAGCACTCTCAGGCTGCCCGATTAGAGCGTAATAACGCATCATAGTTCCGAAATCCTACAATGTGAACATACAGTGTTGGAGGAATATATGTTCGCATTGTAGGATTTCGGAACTATGATGCGTTATTACGCTCTAATCGGGCAGCCTGAGAGTGCTCTGAAGACGCTACGGGAAGCCACTGAGTCGGTCGTGCCTGATCTTGTCACGTAAGTAGTATAGTTAGCGGGATGAGAGAGAAGTGTGGTATTACAGGTGCAATACTGTGTTGAGTGTGTTGGTGAAGAATGGTGAAT